CTTCCTCCTTTTTTTTTTCCCCAAAACAAAATATACCTTAAAATTTTGTGAAGGGTATGCAATTTTGTATTTTACCATTCTTTGTCTCCCTGACAAAACAACATTTATAGAGACTTCATCCACAGATCTTTTTCTGGACATCTCTGAGGAAAGCTCAGCCACTGTTAGAACCTCAAAGATAATTTTGAAGTAGAAGAGCAACTGTGTGCATGAAAGCAAAAACTGATGTCACAGCCAAACTAACAGAGACCCAAAAAATGCATTTCCTTATCAGCCTCCTGAGTCTTCCCTATCAGATCCTCCTTGCACTTTCTTGATGATAGAAGGGTGACAAGAAAAAGGAGGCAATGATTGTTCTTACAAGAACTTTGTATTTCAGTCTAGTTTTGGGGTTTTTTTCACTTATCAGATATCTCATAAATCAGTATTCTTTCTGCGGGATCTCTTTCTTATATATTGCTTAAAATTAAATAATGTCCTTCTAAAAGCCAAATACCTATGGTATTTCTTGATGTGGACAAGGGAATGCAAAACAGTCAGAGCTGCTGTACTCAGCCAGGAGAAACATTCTGGGGTCCCTGGGACTACAGCCTTGGACTCCAGTAGATATGAGTGTTTTACTGCATCAGGAAGGTCCCCACTCCTATTTTGAGCAACATGCATCTAGGAGAGGTCAAGAGCAGTGTCACCGATGGTGAATCTGGTGTGCCATATGCTCTGTACTTTCTCAGGACCATTTTGCAAGTCTGTGTCCTCAAGTGAGCAATTAGTCACATTATTGTTTCCAAGTCCCTAAAAAACCCAAAATGCAAGAATTACTTACCTAAACAGAGATCCTGATCCACTCATCCTAGCTGGCAACTAAATGCCAGCTTTTTGCCAAGTGCTATAGTATATATGGAGGGGGAAGAGGTGTCCTGATAAAGCAGATTTTGAAAATGCAAAAGAGGTAAAAATAAAAAACATGCAATTAAACAATACAGTCTAAGTATATTAACAAGATAAAAAACCCCAGGTAGTCAATTAATCAGTTTTCAGATTTTTATGGCGCAAACAATAACTAAGCTCCTCATATCTTCTGTTTGACCTGATTGAGAAATTCTTAAATACACACAGAGTCACACAGAACTAAACTCGGCTTTCTTCCAGTTCAAGGGTCTGTTCTTATAAATTAATATTTCAAGGCTGAGGCATATAGATTTTCTTAACTTCATTTGAAATCTTTCCAGCTTCTTATGTAATAATATTCACAATATTTTTAGGAGACAAAAAAAGGACTTGGGACAAGTGTGTTTTGTTTGTTGATACATGATTATAGATTTGAAGAGCTACTATCTGGTAAGGACCATCACAACATTTTGACTGTTCTGTCATAAATATCAGATCATTACATTTCATCTGATTTTCACTATATTCAACCTAACAACTTCCATTTCACTCAATTGCACAGAATAGCTAGTGTGTATATATTGTATGTGTTCATATAGAACAGTACAGGTGAATAATAAGGTTTAGCACTGGATTGAGGGTTAGGTTTGGCAAACAAGAGGATTCAATCTAACGAGCTGAGGAAATATTTTCCAAGGGAGCAATTCACCTTAAACATTGTGGGGTGTTTCTTTCTAAAATTCAATATTAAGGATGAAATATTCAGTCTTAATTTAAATCTGAGGGCTAACTCAAAAAATTAGTAGACTGAAGCTAGTTAAATACAGTACTGATTATGTTCCCAGGGGGCCTGCACAGTTACAATAAGACTATATTAAGTTCTTCCAGGCTTCTCTCAGTCTACAGCTGTCAGGTATCATCTGGATGTGTTTGACTTAATATTATGAACAACATGATGGTTAGAGAAAAGGTAGAAGAACGAGCTCAGTCAGACAGAGACTAAGAAAATCATTTTGGCATTCATAGCAGTGGCACTTGCTCATCGTCTTTTGCTCAACTGAACTTGTAGTACTCCTGCCAGAAGGAAACAGGAGTAACCCAGCAGTCCAGTCACTGCTAAATCAGCCATGGCCCCACACAGCTGCTGAAACTGATGACAAAATGAGTCCTCAAACAACATTAGTTTTCCATTTGTGCAAGAACTCATCTGAACTGTGCAATTGCCCAAGACTTCTAGTCTGAGCTGATCCCTAAAATGAGCCTTAACTGGAAGCACAACCTGTGTCAGCCTCAGAAATAATGTTTCAGGAAAAACCAGTTTTACTTCAGCCCTTCAAGCATCTCTCATCGCAACATTTAATCCATTTCTCACACTCTTCCTCTTCAAATATGTTCCTCTGTAGGCCTCTAGTTTAGCGTTAGTCCTGTCCCACTAACCCCAAAATAAAAATACAAACTGCTGATATAAAGATGTACCTGTCATCAGTAAAGGTGTGAATATTTCAAATCATACTCTCCCTTAACCCATGGTTCCTTAGTCATATCCTTATAGATACAACTAAATAAGAGATCACAAGGCTCTAATGGCAAGTGTTACTGTTGGCTCACACCCTCAGTGCTTCAGGCTAGCTTCTCCACAGATTTGGGTTGAGAATAGTTACCTGGAGTGGTTCAGACTCATTCCAAATCAGAGAAGGAGACAAGCAGTTAATGAATATGGACAAGCAGGGATTTACTTGCTCTCTTCTTTTCTCTTCTTTTCTTCATTTTCTCTTCTTTTCTTCTTTTCCTTTCTTTTCCTTTCTATATAGTAATAGCATAGAGCTATAGCCCATGCAACTGAAATATAATACTGGACTCTAACCTTAACTTGAACCCAAGTTCTTGAACTCACCATCAGACCTATACCATACTATATCAAAGAAAGAAGCCCGACATAACAAAAAGCTCACCTTTAACATCCAGGAATTACCCACGATCCTCAGCCTCTGCCCAGTTCCAGTACAGAGACATATATATATATATATATATGTAAAGACTAGGCTTAAAGTTCAGAAAATAAAAGCCGGTGAACCAAAGGATATCTTTCTAAAGATATAAGCTCTCTAAGCCAGGAAGAGATTTTTAGTTTGCATCTCCTAGGGCTATTGGTTTTGAAGCTGAAGGCACTTGGCTTGAGAAAAGGCTGTTTCTGCAATCAAAGCTGTGGTTCTTGTGCGGTTAAGGATGATGCACTTTTCTGCCACATATCTGAGATTTCACTTCAAGATTTAATTCAGAACTAGTGTCCCATGCCATCAGAAGAAACAGCAAGTAGATTCAAGACACTACCCATTCTCATGAGAGGTCTGCAGCAACTACCTATTTACTGAACGCTGATTCAACAGTCCCTGATCCAAAACATGTACTAGAGCTTAGCACTAGACGTGTCCAACCTACTAGTTTCCAAACTAAAGTGAACTTGTACAAAGAGGCACCTGTCCTTAAGATGTAGTCTACTCCTACCAAAAAAATCCAAATCAAACCAAAAGAAAAAACCCCAACCCCCTCCTCGTCACTGTTTTATTCATTTACCCTAATCTTTATTCTAATCCTGAATTTAAAGATCAAAATCCAGCCATCAAGACTCGTGCCCTAGCAATGGCTAGTACTGATTGTGGCATCTAGGATTTAGCCACATTGCTCACTAAGTGCTAAAGCATAGATGTTTTATACAAGTCACTCAATGTGTGAGGAAGAAAATCCTTTATAGCAGTCCACACTTAGATATTCTCTTTGCATGTGGAAAAATAGCTTATTGCAGGAATCTGTAAGTATATGTGTGTGCATGCATATATGTATGTGTGTCTCAGTGTGCATGAAAACTGTTTCCTCTATCAGAGGTAGTTCCTGTTTTCACCATTTCCCACAGGAAAGAATTTTAAAACAATGTGCAGGCAAAATAACATCTCTGTTTGAAACCAATTTCCTATCATCTCACCACTTCTCACTGTTAGGAACAAGTGCTATACGCCCCACACCAAATAACTGGCATTACACTCTTTTCAGCCTAGAAATACTGTGAAATATTAGATGTAAATTTGCAAAAGTGCTTAGGTACTACATGCCAAGTAATTCTAGTTTCAGTGGGATTTTTAGGCATGCACTGACAGCACATAAACAACATATCGTTGCCCTCAGATCAGGCTATGCACAGGAGTGTGTGTCTCAACTGCTTGGCTGAGACACCAGCCACCTCTTCCCATACCTCCATGCACATGTGCTTCTGTGGGGAGAGAGAAGATGGCCATGCAGGTTGGAACAAAGTTCTGTGACTTTCAGCCAAGCATGGAGCTAATAAACACTGCTGTTGGGGCTACAGGGTGCTCCAAGCTTTCTCCACAAAGAAAGATTTTTGTTGTCATGTTAAAGTGGCATCTGTTTAAAGCTAATTAGATGCTGAAAACTTTTAAATTATTTTGGAGAGGGGCTCTAATATAAATTAAGTAAACTTTTTTTTAATTCGAAACATACAAAGAATATGTTTCTCCATGCAGCTTACAACCATGTTTTGAAAATGTAGCAAGGCAAACATGGTTTATACCTATATACTATGGCAGAAATCCAATATTCATCTGCTGTTCATATTGCAAGAAAATGAGATCATTAAGGTCAGAAAGAACAGCTGCTTTAATTATAACACCCTGATATATCATATCAAAGTTTTCATCATCTCACACAAACTCTAAGAACATACACCAAGGATTCATTTCTATCATCCTGTTTTTTCTTGGGAAGGAGATTACATAAGTACACTCCAGAGCACTGGTTGCTTCAAGTCATGTGAGGCTATGTAAAATAATTTTACCCCAAGCTCAATAATGCCATGTCAACTAACATTAAGCTAACTTTCACAGTCTTTATTCCTCTTTTTGTGGTGGCAGTAGCAGAAAAAGATATTTTTGGCAGCTGGGAAGCTTCTCTGCAGGCTTCACGGTCTTACTGCCACATATCCCCACAGGCTCCTGCTCAGGAGCGCTCAGTACCCACACCTACAGCTGGCAACACTGGTCTGCCTGAGGCACCCAAAGGTATCCCTTCTTTAAGGGAATGGCTGCTTTGTGTTTTAACAGATGCTATGCTTCTGGTAGCGGAGAGATTAGAGGGACCATTCAACATTGAATCAGTCATGGATCCTATTGATGTCAAGATTTCTGAAGCCATCATGAACATGCAAGAGAACAGCATGCAGGTGTCAGCAAAGGTACTGTGTGAGTCGTGCCTTCTCTGTTGTTGAATGCCACAAGTGGGGGGGAAAAACATCTCCACCAATTTTTCTGTCTAGACTATTAAGAAAGATTGTCCAGACCACCAGAAATTGCTTTTCCTTGTTCAACAGTTTACCAGACTGCCTTTGAATTCTTCATCCAGTTAAACAAGCTAGAACTTTTCAAAAGGAAGTGGAAGGAAGAAAGCTACCATTTATTAAACTTCAAATTAATAGCTGTAAGAGATTTAAGGAAAATAGAGAGTGCTGAAAAGCAGCAGTAATTCTGTAAGCAATAGCCTGCAGAGTACACCTGGTAACTTCCACTCGTGTCTCATCTGTGATTCTCCATATTAGCTTCCAAACACATTTTGATCTGTCTAGGTCAGAGTGAAGTGCAATATGTTTGAGGTGAATACACAAAATGTTCCATTTAACCTCCTTTAATAGCCACTCAGGGGAAATATTACATTGGACAGTCTCTGATTACCAGACCTCAGTTTGATAGAGTTTTGTCTGGATTCTGACACAAAGATAAACAGAGCTAATGATACCAGCTTCCTCCTTTCCATTTTTAATGTGTGTGTGTATACACAGATCACCATCACCTCTGAACCCCTGTTAATAACATCCTTCAAATTCTGTAGCAGGTGCTGTTGAGCCAATAGTCAACAATTAATGGCTCTCCCTTAATACTCATCAGTGTACTGTTGCTGAAATTCTAAAGTCAACAGTTTGCCATGTTCTCCGCATTAGGAGTTTCTATCTTGCATTTAACTCCCAGTAGTCAGTTGGGTGCTGGCCAGATTGCCATCTGAGTCAGTGAATTTCCATTGCATGGAAGGAAGCTGCTGTAGCTGGGAAAAATGTGGGGACAAAAGGCAGGAGGCTGAGGTTAATATTCTTCCTGCCAACCCAAATTAGATGTTTTTTATGGCCCCAGTGCTACAGGTTTTTAAGGGCTTCTTTCAAGATGCTTTTTACTTTCAACCTTCATGATGTTTCTTGGATTTTAAAAGCAGAGTACATCCTGCATGATGAGACTTTGTTCTGGCAGCAGTGATCAAGTGATCCCAAATATTTTGGAAATTAAAGGCTAGCTTCAGCAAACTTAGCCCTTACCTAACAAAAAATATTTTCACTGAAAACTCACTGAAGGCCCAAGTGTATATAATTTTCCTTTTTACTTGTTTGATTTTCACAGTTTTCCTATTAGTTGGGAAGCTGCATCCGCTGCCAGAGTCCAATGACATATTGGCATGAGCTCATCTTACTACTCATTTATAGCAGAGCAGACTGTTTCTCCTGCCCCTCACAAATATTTGCTGTAGAGATTGATTGCAATGCCATTTGCAAGGCAAAAGCTTTTCCTCTAAGAGAAACCTTAGCCAATAATTTTTTAAATATTGTAGAACAGAAAAGAAATTATATCAGCAAAATTTATTCTATTATATTTTCATAGATAACAGAGCTGTCTATCCTTGAGGGACCTTTGTGTATTTCTGTGTTTCCTGAAATGTGATTTCCTTGATCTTCTTGGTTATATCAGTCTTTATTCAGGTCACGTGAAAATGCTTTTTTCTTTAAAAAAATGTATAAGAAGGTAAAGGCTTTGGGCTTAGTGCTGTGCTCTTCCTTGCCATGTCAGATCTGTAGAGATGATAAACGAGTACACTTCGAATCAGTCCTCTGTTGTCTAATTTTTCCCCCTATACATACTGACCACTTAGAGCTTCAGTGAAAATGACAGATACCTTGCCAGATGTAATGGGGTGCATGGAATGCAATTGCAGACCTAATGTGGGAGAAAAGCCATGCTTGTCAATTATTCTGAGATGCTGCTCAGAAAGCTTCAGGCAGGGTGTTGAAATCATGTTATCTTCTCTTTCTTCAAACAATTTTGTATCTTGTATTTGAGTGTACCTACTGAAAAAAGTGGTGACTAGGAATCACAGCTATTTTTCCACAAGTCAGTCAGTGCCTTTTTACATGGGAAAATGGCAACGCACTAATAATGTTATGCCTGCAACACCGACATACACATAGATTATTTTTCACCACTGACATGCAGCCTTTTCTGCCTAAAAATCTGGTTGATGTCTGAGAGAAGGCTCTATGCTGAAAAAGCAGAATTTTGGACCACATTGTATAATGTTGTTTCTCTTTTAAAAAAAGTAGAAAAAATGAAAATAAAAAGTTTCTTCCTCAAGGAGCTCTACTACTACATCCCCTTTGTGGGTCGAAGACCCAGAATTCATTTAATCCAAAATCCATATGCTCCTGTTTCAAATATTTATATAAAATTGCCCTATTCCAAAAGTCATTAACATTAACTTGCACTATCAATTTGTCTTTGTATTACAAAATTATATTTTGTATTATAACAGCTGCAATTATATATTGAAGTCTATTTGAGAAAAATAGATTTTTTTATATAATAGAGTGACTGTACATTACTGTCCATATGGAGGCACAATCAAGTGAGCAACGTACACTTTCCAACATATTAAGTGTATATAAATAAGTAACAATGCATACTCTCATGTGAATGAAGTCTTCAATTTTAGACATCAGCGGAAAAATACAGCATAAACTTTCTAAGTCTCCATTTTTATGGTTTGGTCCTCAATTCTTCACTTGATGTAGTACTGAAGGCCTTATCCAATATCTTTTCCCTATAAATATGCACCTTCTGTTCAGCACTATTTTTCTGAGAAATAGTCTTCATGGTTACAGTTATACTAATAAATAAAAGGGGGAAAAAGACCATGGTTGATCTTGGGGCCAAAGTGTCACAGCCTGATTCATTTCTGTACTGCTGAGAGCTACCTCTGGAGCTGTTTCATTCTGCCAAGAGCAAGTTGGAGCAGTCCAAGAAATAGCCAACAAGTTAATAATTAATCAGTGCAGACAGTCAAGGCTTATGGCTTGAGTTCACTCCTTGTCTTTCATTTCCTTAGAAGATAAAAACCCTCTGTCTTCCACTCTTGATGGTGCACATCAATATTGAGACAGAGAATTATAGAGATGCCACATGTACCTCTTCCATTTTTGTACTTCCAACCAAGGACATACAGACTCAGCCACATCCCAGTATCTGTCACTGCATAAAATGGAGCATCTCTGTTCCTAGGCCAGTAACTTTTCTTGTTTCTGTCATGATTGTGGTTGATTCTTCTAGCACAGTTCACATTAACCAGGTACTAGTATTATGTTAAGATCCAATTCATCCTGAGGCTGCAATCTTTCTGTTTTCCTAATATTTGTCTGCAGTTTATATTCAGCACTGGTGGTCTAGAAAGTCTGATTCCAAAGCTCTAAGTTTCATGGCTGCTCACCTTGCACATCTGTCATGTCCTTGAATGACAGCCACACAAGGTCCTTATTTTGCCTCAGGAAAAGTCCCATTCCTGACAGCTGTGATAACTGGAGATACTTGTCAAAAAAGGATCAATGGTCTAGAAAGTCAGACTTCAAGGCCCAAGGCCTTTCTGCAAGAGAAATCTATGTGCTCTGAATTAGACCAAAGTTTACCTTCTCCAAAGAAAGACAAGGACTGAAGATCATCAAAAGCAGCTTCCATAGATTCATCATCTAACACCTGCAGCCATTCTTAGAGAGCACCTTCTGCAAACCAAACCACACAGAGTGCAAAACAATTAGCCTGGGCTACCTGAGATGCCTCTAAAGACATCAATACCTTTTAGCAGGCTGTGTGATCTGGGTCTTCCCAGACTACAGTGCTGTTCCCTGAAGGTTGCCTGTGGCAGAAGTCAGGGTGCAATAGATTTACCTTGGATTTTTTCTTGTAATATCTGAGACAGGATATCTTCTTTATTGAAATCTTTAAGTTATTCGCCAGTGACACCTTTTTGGTATTTGAACAATATAGTGACAAACTCAGCACTCAGAATCATGTTGATTATTTCTCAGGTAAAATTTTTACATTTTGTGTATTGTTTCCCATGGCTCAGCTCATATCCAAGACCTGGTCATAGCATACATTTACCTTATTCTCACCCTCATTCTCCCTGAGGTAACTCAGGTAGTCGTGTTAAGAGACTCATAACATATAAATGCTCATTTCAATCCTGGCCAAAACAAGCATGTTTTGAGGGCCTTCACAATTTTCCTGTAAGACTATCAGTACCATTATCTTTCATTCCTGCTTCAACTCAAAAGGTAAATCCTACATCTGCTCCCTTTTAACATGAACGACATCTGCAAAGATTGCTTATTCACGAGAAGTGAAGGAAAAGTCAAAAAACAGCAGAAAAGATGTAATAACATCCTTTTTTTTTTTTTCAAAATGGAGAAAATTCCTGATCTGTTTGCATCAGCATAATCATGTCTTCATTGCTACGCAAAACACAACATACTGGACTATTTTTTGCATTTAAAACACTTTGGTTCTATACGTTTGACTGCAATAAGAGTCATTTGGCTGCCATGACAAGATTTTTCCACTTTCATAAAGTCTATCCCATAGCTGAGTTTCCCTTAGTAAGTCTTAAATCTGCTTTTATCTGAGCTGATGGATGTGCCATTTTAACCTATAAATATATGTTCCTTCTTAGCAATTACTTCAGCTAAATGGATGAATGAGTTCCATGACATAGCAGACTACCTATGCATTATTTATAAGGAGGAAATCTTCACAGAACTACATCCAAGGTTCTTCTTAAAATAGTCCACGAGTTTCATATTAAGAAAACCTCTTCATTTATCTGTGTTCTTTCCAGAGCTCTGTGCAGGAAAAATAAAATGGCATTTCAGGTAAAAAATCAATGCTATTCTATCTGAAGATGAGTCAATGGAGTAGAGTCATATAGAGACACTCAATTGGAAACACTGAGCATTGGCACATGGCTAAATAACAATATGACTCAAGGCTTCACAGAGATCAAACCATATCCTCTGCAAAAATTAAAAACTTCAGGTTCTCCTGGGAAAGGACTCTTTTTTTTATAGTATCTACATCCTAGTCCCTTAGTAGATACCTCCATTTAGTCAGCTCAGTAGATGTTATTCTTCACTGGCTCTACTGACTTGCTTTCACTGCTTGGTTCATATCCCTGACCATAGAGATCTGGTCCATTTGAGCTTTAACTGCAGTTCAGTGGGGAATGGCTTTGTGTTAAGACAAACTACTATAGATGCTGATAAGAAAGAAACTCAAGGAAGTTTTGACCTCCACTGCCTAAAATTGAAGTTCAGATGTATAACTTAAACGTAAACACATGTACACACCTAAATTCAGGTTTCTTCATTTCAAATGGAATCCACTCCCTAAATTCAGATAAAACAAACCACACCAATTATATATAAAATGCAATCTTTAAAGAGAGTGGATTTATGTTACCAATTCACAGCATATGTAATCAAACACATAAATATTTTTCCAGAAATTGCTCAGTATCTCTGAATAGCATTGTGAAGAAAGTACTTCATGTGTTTCTTAGGAAGCATTTATCAATATCCATCATCAGCTTTACAGTTTCTGTTCTGTCAGTTAATACCAGGATGCAAATTTAAAAGTGTCTCTTGCACTCAAAATTTAGTTACCGAATATTGTATTCTTACTGTATTTCTGCCAGGTCATTTAAAAAGTAAGTTATTTCTTCTTCTGTGATGTAAAAATTATTATCTAGTTTGCATCTCTGTTATTGTCTGACTGTACATAACTTTGTTCATATAAACCCACTTGCTACAACTATTTGGATGAAGCTAAATGCCACAAAGTCTATTTTGGGTTTTTTCAGTATGTCATAAGAAAGATGAAATATAAATTATGGAGGCTTACAGTTGCAGCACATGGTCATACAAGTAGCCTAACAGTCACACGCTGGAAAATTTAAGAAGTGCCCTCACTTTCCCCCAAGAATATAGTTGTACGTTTTGGATAATTGTCCCTTTGTAAGCAAATTCCTGACTGCTTAGTAGAGTCAATGGGATTTCATAGATATCTAAATAAACAATTATGTTTTCAGCATATCACTTATCTTGAGTCAGAAGAAATGTAAGTAAACTTTTGTAAGTGTAGTTCATACCCTCAACATATATCTTTGGTCCTTTAAATTGTACGGTATCCTACACAATCATGTATAAATCCTGAATCCTGTAATCCTATAATCTTCGTTGAATTTCATCAGAGAGGAAAAATAACGTTCTTTCCTGGTGAAAAAAAGGCCAGAAGTTTGCAAGCTAAAATCACCTTTCTTTGTTGATTAAGTTAATGTATTGTCCAATAGTCCTCATACTAGGGAGGCTAGAAAATCTTAAGACAGATATTTGCAAACCAGACCAAATGGTATTCCACTCATAAATTAAAAATCCCAATGGCCATACAACAGCTGACTTGCTGGACTTTGAGCAAAACCAGATCTGATGGTTTGACATATATTTAGTATGAATCAGATTTTTTCAGCAAATTTTGAATCATTTGGGGCTTTTAAATTAACATCAGAAAACCTAACTGAAAGCCAATTGTAATTTATCCTGAAAGAAACAAAAGTCACACCATTCATGGCTACTTCAGGACAGAACCACTCGAGGCAGAAAATATAAAAGTCTGAAAGTGAAACATGAGTCTTTTTAATCAAGCTCACAACGTAACTTGTGAGCTTATTGTCTTATTTGCCGCTGTAGTGGCTTGACCATGGTTGGATGCCAGGCAGCCATCAAAGCCACTCTATTACTCCCCTCTGCATCTGGAGAGGGGAGAGAAAATATAACGAAAGGTTCGTGGGCTGAGATCAGGACAGAGAGAGATCCCTGACCAATTACCATCATGGGCAGAACAGACTCAGTTTAGGGATATTAATTGAATTTATTACTAACAAAATCAGAGTAGGATAATGAGAAGTAAAATAAATCTTAAAAACACCTCCCCCTCCCCCTTCCCAGCTCTACCTACTCCACCCCCAGCAGCTCAGGGAGATGGGGAATAAGGATTACAGTCAGTTCATCACACATTGTTCCTGCCACTGCTCAAGGAGAGGAGTCCTTCCACTGCTCTAGCATGGGGTCCCTCCCACAGGAAACAGTCCTCCACGAACTTCTCCATGTGAGTTTGTCCCACAGTCAACAGTTCTCCACAAACTGCTCCAACACAGGTCACTCTTCCATGAGGTGCAGTCCTTCAGGCACAGGCTGCTTTAGCAGGGGTCCCCCAAAGGGCCACAAGGCATACAAGGAAACCTGCTCCAGTGTGGGCTCCTCTCTCCACAGGTTCACAGGTCCCTGCCAGGACCCTGTTCCAGTACAAGCTTCCCACGGTTCACAGCCCTCTCTTGCATGGGACCTGCTCCAGCCTGGGACTCCTCCATGGGCTGCAGGGGGGTCTCTGCACCCCCATTGTCCTCCATGGGCTGCAGGGGCACAGCTGCCTCACCGTGGTCTGCACCACGGGCTGCACAGGCCTCAAGCTCCGGTGCCTGGAGCACCTCCTCCCTCTCCTTCTCCACTGACCTTGGTGTCTACATAATTGTTACTCTCACATATTCTCACTCCGCTCTTCTCTGGCCACAATTACATCCGCCCAATAACTTTTTTCCATTCTTAAATATGTTATCACAGAGGTGTTTCTATCACTCCCGATTGGTTTGGCCTTGAACAGCGGCAGGCTGGAGCTGCATGGCATTTTACCTGCCAGACATGGGGGAAACTTCTGGCAGCTTCTCGGAGAAGACACCCCATAACTCCCCAATATCAAAATGTGGCCACTCAAACCCAACACAGCCACAGAAAAAGAAGTAATTTGGTCCTACAATCAAAACACATCATCTGCACAGTTTCCACCTCCATAAAGCTCATCCAGGCAGTCTGTGCCTGGCATTAGGGTTTTGTAAAATATATCTTACAAGAAATTCTGACATTTAATTTTTTTCCTTCTGAATGAAGGCAAAATGCTGAAACAGCCAAAATACAATGGTCACAAAAAAAAAAGAAAGATGATTGTAGAACTGAAAAAGTCAGTATGAAGGCATCCTAGGATCCTACTTCATAAGAGCACTTGAAAATTTTAACTCTGTGGATATTCTACCTCTGTTCTGATGCGTAGCTCGTATGACAATGCCTCTGGGAAATATATTTGATATCCAGTAGTCAAAAGTGTCCTCTGTATACTTTAGTAGCCATCAGATACATAACACTGAAACTTTTTTAGAAACAAAAGCATATAAAAAATTTCATAACCCTGAACTTATTATTTTTTATACCTAGAAAACAAACACACTAGCAGAAAATAATTATCACTATTGCTCACTCAGTGTGCCTCACCCCTCTTCTGAGGAGAGATTGGTAGGGAATAAGGGAGTTGTCCAGTTATAAGACTATTTCATCACTGACCTTTTCTCTAAGACTACAAATAAGATTACAAGGTAGGAAGAGCTGTAGGGATTATGAATGACCTCTGATTCTGGGTAAATACCACATTTTAACAAAAGTGAAAACAGTTATCAATTAAGTCCTGCCACGAAGAACATCCTTTTGCTCATTTCTCTTCGTGGAAAGACAGCAATTAAGATGTTGTCCTAAATTAAGGGGATTTTAAGGTCCCTATGTGTTTTTATACCTTCACCAAGTAATTAATAATGCTTAATTATTTAAACGGAATTTTAATGCAGGAATAAGCACTCAATTCACTATTATAAAAATGTCGATCAAATCTTGTTAAAATATACGAAAGGAAGAATAAAGAGGCTACAAAATACAGCTTTCTTTTTTTTTTTTTTATGATTTTCATATAACCAACAATGTCTTTTTCAGATTTTCCAAGGATGTGGCCAACCTAAACCAGCACCTGCTCTGAGATCTTCCCGTTCTGTCCCTGAAAACTTCAATACCCGGTTTAGACCATATAACCCAGAGGAGCGACCTACGACTGCTGCTGGCACAAGTTTGGATAGGCTGGTAAAACAAAATATATTCCATTTTCAAATTAGTAGAAAAGGCTTAATAATATACTAGAAGGTTGCAATCTCCTAATTTAATAATTTCATAATTGCTATTGTTTCTTTGCCAACTGTTCCAGCATTCAGGAAATCTTTTTTCCCCCACTGGAAATGGTATAGAATTGCATTGTAGGAGAATAATATGACTCTGTTTTTATGTGTTAGAAATGTTAGAAGAGGAAAAGCTCTTTCCTGGAGGCCAAAAAACACATAAGCCATGGCAGGTACTTTGCAGTATAAATTCTCTTTTAAAAATGATCTACAGCAATATTTTAAATTGTTTATTTTATATTAAAAACAAGTTGTTATATATTGAGGCCATTTTTATCACTTAGTTCTTGAACTAATACACTTGCAAAGGCACATTAATTCGTTTCACTTTTTTACTTAATTATAAAATTAACACTACTTTATTTCCATCCATCTCAACAATTGACTTTTATCAACTAAAGCTGCAGTGATCCTTAATTTTGCTTTACTTATTCAATCATTTTGGAAAAAAATACTTTATTATAAGATTATTTTCTTTACTACCGGTCATTGGATTGACATTTAAGACTTCAATATTCCTGCTATTTGTACATCTATAGATTGATAGAAGGCTATTTACTATAGCTGTTAACATCATCACAGGACTCCTCTCTAGGTGAAACCAATGAGCAAAATCAAAGAGTTTTAAAGCTCCTGAATTAAAACACACTGTCCTCAGCTTATTACTGCACACTTGCACAGCACTGGTCTCCCTTGCTGAAGAGAGGAGCACTCAGGTCTATAGCAAGAGTAAGGGGAAAGGAGAGTTCATGTGGAAACAGGTATGGGTATATGGTGAGCTGTACTCCTGGTGGCTGCCAGGCAGCTGCTGACTGCACTAGGGCACCAAAATTTCTTGCTGTCTGATCGTGAGCCTAAAATGTCTAAAGATTTCTCCAATATGCAACTTAAATCATTGAGCAGGAACCCAAATATACTAATTCAGATGAGGATCTGGGTATCTTCTGGACACCACCATTCATCAAATTCATTTGATGATCACAGTAGTCTTTCACAGTGCCAATCTTTCCAACCACTTCTATCTATGCTGTATCCTGTCTACTCTATTCTGTCAATCTTCATGGCAATTCAACAGGAAAGTAACATGGCATTTCTAGTCAAGGCATGGGATTACCCAGCAGCAAAAAGCAGCATTTGTTAGTTCTCTGCTCTTCTGGAGACAGTATAGCCTGGTTATCCTAAATGGTGAAGCAGAAAAGATGCTTACCTCCATTGCAAACTTAGGGCTTTCTACCACAGCAGGTTCATAGCCGAGTGTAAAATCTCAGGCTAAAAATCTGACTGGCAATGCTCAAGCTGTATTTGATGAGCTCTCAATTTCATACTTTCACTTTACATTCAGAGAACCTTCAGAGTCCTTCTGTATTGCTCATAGCAGAGTCCTGGATCTCAATCTAGAATTAGCCAAGGTGAAGTCAAAAGTCACCAAAGCCTTTAGGTTTCAGTCATGCTCTGTCAAAGCTAAAGGTTGCAAACAGCTGAAATGGGACAGAGAGTATATAAAGGAAGGCTGATAGCACAGTTCAATTTGAATTACTATGATGTAAGAACAGTTGGAGCATTTTTGCAATGAAAGAGGCAGGTTTAAGCAACATGAGATATTGGCACAAGAATACTTCTAAGCACATTAATATTCTTTTTAAACTACAAGCTTCCAAAATACTGAGCAGCATCCTGAATAAAGCAGCCAGCCTTTAAAGACTGGAAGATAATTCAGTGAAAGATAATTGTCAATGCAGATAAACTTTATAACTCCTGATAATTTCTAGATTTTGAAAAGGGGACTTATCTCCATATGATTTAATTTGTTTTATTCATACATTATTTCAGACAAAAAACCAAAGAGTTTAGTATTGCTGCTTTTACTTTTAAACATGTTCAAACAAATTTCCTCTTTGCTGTCCTTGCTGACAGTATTTAAATTAATAACTATTTATGGTCTGTTAGTGATGAGTGTTGGTTTCAAATATATCTTCAAATGGCAGTGATGAATGTGTTGTCTCCTTCTGGGCTGAGACCAACAATCCCTCAATTCAGAGATGGCCACTGACCTCATCTGGAGCTGGGAAAGGTTGTTTGTGTGGATTAGAGCAGAAGGCCTTATTTCAAGCTGTAACCCCTTAGCAGCACTTGGGAAAGGTCGCTGCGTGCATCTCACACTTTCTTGGGTAATTTTATCCAGAAAGATATAAATGCTACACTCCTGCCTCACAGAAACACCACTTAACTTGTCTACACAAGAACCTTAGCGTTTCATGTGCTGAATCATTCCCTGAATGACATATCTCTCTTCATTAACTATAGCCAGAGCTTGGAGGACCAGCTTCATTTAGGTCCTCCTAACCCTTGCATGACTAACAGGACATAAGGAGAACTCCACTCACAGCAGTTTTCCTGTCTACACGCTGATCATTTTCTATCGCTCACTTAATATAAATATACTGCAATATTGGTATTTTGATGGTAGTGTCAAACAGTTAAAAATCCTTTTGATTACTACAGATATAAGAAACAAGTCTTTTCTTGCAAGTCAGCTGACTGTTCAGTGTTATGTTAATGCTTTTAGAAGTCTGTTCTGGAGTTTGTATTCATAAAACAGTCAGACAACTTAACTGTAAACTGTCACTGCAAAGTCCAAACATGAAGTTACATAAATCTCAAAAGAAGTGACAAACAATTCTGCTTTTATCTGTCTTTGACAGGAGAAGAAACCAAGTTTAGAAAATACTTCCTCTGCATCCCAATCTTATACAAAAATGTAGCACATCTAAACCAATTTTTTTTTCTCCTGTTCATAACCCCATTTCTAAGCTTAATTCAGTTGAGTATATTTTATCAGGTATGTTGCACAAAGCAGCCCTGATAAGAAGCCTGCACTGAAATCACCCAGTACTGAACCCATCTGAGAAAGTGTTCCTTCATCCTTGCCTGAATTATGTGATTAATCCAGCTCTTCTGTTCCAAAATGAGGGAAAGTGGTTTCCCTGTGTTATTGTCATAGATGTAACAAGTAAGGCTTAACAAATAAGAAGTAGATCACAATAAATCATAAGAAATATGCAAAAAAATTAAATATACCCCAAAAGCTGTGGTATATGTGGTTTCAAAAGCATCAGATGTATTCAGGAAGTTATGTAGAGCTTGAGAGACTTATTGAATCATGGATGTAAAGCATCATCTGAGACATCTCAGGGTATCTGAAACATGGGACCAGCAGATATGGCACAAAGAACTAGAAGAGACCAGTATACTTCTGGAGCAGCAGTGGAAAACTGGCTAGAATACACTACAGCAGCTCAAGCGATTCAAGTTACTTATGCTAAGGCATTTCAATCATATCTTCACAGTACTGGGCCTAAAAGTCAGGTTCTCTCTGAAGTCAGTGTAGAAAGACATACATTTTTTGGGAGTGATTCACCCCACATGTCACAGACACTTCTCTCAGACTGGGAAAAGACTGGGTAAAAAAAAGGCTTGATTGCGATACCCACATGTAGATATGCAAGACTGAGATGCCTTGGAGTTTATAAGACATCTAATTGAGCTGATAGATAGGACAGTAATTTGGGTTGCTTATGCCCTTCTGAACTGGCAGCTGAAGTTTGGATAGAACATCCTAGAGGATATCCACTATGTGGCATCCAAGTGGGAAAACAGAACTGAGCCCTACCCATTCTCTGCATGTTCCACGGGATGAAATTCAGCTACATGCATATAGTCACCCAGTGCTCTTTGAGATGCCTTGGTCTTTAAGATGTCCAAAGGTGAAAGCGAAGTCACAGGAGACCTGGCTGAAAGTAAGATGGAATATCTCAGAGCTACTAAATCCACTTGCTTTGCCTATATTTAGATAACTGTATTCCACCCTATTTCTCTAGTGACTGTAACAGAAGAAAAAATGAGGACTTTTCTGATTCAGTATAGAGATCCATAGTGCAGATACCTATAACCAACTGTCTAGATTTGAGTCTGGATGGCTGTATTTTTTACTGTTAATACAGAAGAATAAAGGCCTTCTTTCAGTTTTCTAAGCATGGGTTTAGGCAACTGAATTGAATCAAATATTTCTAAAGAACAATTCATCTCATCCTAAAGTATACATTTTGAACAACTCAGAAAAATCTTTCCATGTCCCTCTACTACAAAGCGACAACCTTAGTCTAGGCATCTAGCAAGTACACCTGAACATAAGTAAATTAAAAAACTGTCAAAAGTTAAATAATTTTAACCGCTGAGCTCACCTGCTCATGTGTAAAGCATGATGTAAAGTTTCTCATTTAAAATCAACTGCTTATAAAGATTCGTTACCTTCTCTGTGGTTGCCTGTTTGGTATAACCTGTGGTTTATTTTGTTTTGTTTTGTTTTGTTTTTCTGTTCCCTGAATCTGTTTCCCTCTTGCTTCCCAGAGGACTATCTGGAGGACAATGCAACATGGTGTAAGCTTTGGTATTCTTATTCTTCACTTCATACCCATTTGTCTTTGTACAATGCTGTACAAAACACTTGTTTAAGTTTCATCTTCACCATCTTTACTTTGTGTGTGTGTCTTGTAGGCTAAAGTGCTAGCAGTTCTTGCCGTAATTTTGCATTGTGGCTGATTTCATTCTGCCCAGTGTCCAGAGCTGGTGCCTTCCAGCATTTTTTTCTCACCTCAAGGATGATGCCCCACCCCAGAAAGGAGTGTATGTATTCCCTCAGCAAATGGTCTCAGACCCCACAAATGCATGTGCAGCAAAGCAGATACTGCAGTGACATTCAGCTCTGAGTCCTGTGCCTGGAGCAATGGAAATGAGCTCCCAGGCCTTCCTGGGCTCTCTCCCTAGAATTGTCTGCTGTCCAATCCCCTTATGCTTTACAGCTTCGTAAGTTTTTGTGCCTGTTAGAGGTCCCTGGTTTTGGACAGAAAACCTTCCTCATCAGGGTTCATTCAGCACAGCCCAAGGGAAAGGCAGGAACACAGCACCACACATATATGCATTAGCTTGGACTTAATAGTCCAAATCCGTAGCAGGACTAATTAGCCTACAGAGAGCACCATGCTGATACAGCCATAACGCCTCAAGTACCTCTGTATCTACGGCATCACTGTACAGCACAGTGCTGTCTTAATTCAGCTGGAATTTCTCCCGAGATCATACTGCAGCCCAACCTAGCTGGATATGTATAAAATAATTCCAAGTTTTCTTTCAGGAGATCATGGAAGCTTTCTTGATTTTCCACAAGGGAGCTGATGCACTATTAACCATATAATACATAATGTACATGCATACTATGGAGAAAGGTGACTGAGAAATTGTCGCATTTCGCAAGTGATTTACTTTCAAGTACAGTATAGTGGCTGCATAGATAACATGCACCCAGTCTAACAAAAACACCTTTCATGTACTTTACCCTGGGGAGGAGAATATAACGTGTCATATTTTGTAGGAAAATGTTATTTTATAGTCCCTCCTGCTTTCCTTAAAGTGACAGTAAATAAAGTCTCAATTTCTGTAAGAAAAATGCCCTGAACCATCTTTTTTAGGAATAAAGTGGGATGTACTTTAAGTGTCCATTCAGTCATCTTTTTAATTTTTTTATTCCATTGTGTAATGACTTTTGTCATAATAAAAATGTGATAGTAACCTAGCAAATCTGTTGTGAAGAATTCCTTCCCAGTGCTCCAAAACTACGTGAAATAGAAAATATGATTTAAAAAATAAAATCTGCTTTGCATTTTAGTTATGGAAGACTAAAAGTAACAGGACAGTATTCAGACACTGATCTGAATTGCCCAGGGAATCCTCTGGGGCATTCCTGAAAGTAGAGGTTTTGTTTCAGTTGTTAGAATCCATTTAGTCCAGAATCTAGAACTGTTAAATATAGGCAGTGATAAGACAATTTTCCTGAGATAGAATGTTTATCCTCAACATTTTTTTCTCAAGAGACCCTAGAATGAAATCCAGTGGGTATAAATCTTAGACAGTTTAAAATCCTGAGATTAATTTTCCAACTAGCTTCTGTGTCCAGAGTCCATAGGGAAAGATACAAACAACGAGCCTTTAAAATTCATCATAACTCAGGAGGTTTGGGTCACATTCTTAAGAATGATGATGACAGGCTCACACAGGTGTTTTAGGAGCCCACAGGCTTCTCACAGGCTACACCCCCACAATCCTTAGATGCTGTACTTTTGGATGTGTGATATCAATCAGCAGGTGACTCCTGTAAAACAAAATGTACAGCTCCTCCAGTTTTATGTTTTGCATGTTTCGGCAGAGTCCTGTTTCTTATTAGCTGTTTGGATGCAATACTCTCAATGAATAAATATGTTTTGCAACATTCATTGTGGTCATTTGGTGTCAGAGTTAGGATTTGGTTGGTTCTCCAAAAATAAGCCTTTGCTTAGTGCCAAGTTTTGTTTAGTCTCTGTTTCTGTGTCACAGCAATATCCAAGTAAGTTAAGTCTGTGGAATCGCTTTTTCCCTCATGGTTAATACCCGTTTCAGGTGGCAAAGGCAGATGAATGATGCTAGCTGTCAGAACCCTCCTGGGAGACCTGACAGAGTTCTGTTTTTAAAAATGGTGATATTATTCCATCTCCCAGCTGAATGGTTGTGCATGCTGCTGTATCTGATGCATTGCATTCCTAATGTGCATGAGGTGGTCACTAAGAAAGAGCTTTATTACAGTGGTTGCTTCAGATCTCTACCTCAATTAGTTGTCACAAAAAAAGCACTGTCTTGATTGCCATGCAGTTTCTGCCTTGTCTGAAGAGTGATGTGCTGCTTGTCTCAAGGAACACAGTACCTACTTGAACATCTTCTAAAACATACATGTTAGAACTAGTTGAACTTCCTTTACCTAATGGGTGTGAAGACCCACTGAGAGTCATCATTTCATTTCCAGGAGGGTCTTAGGGGTGTGCATGGTATATGTATCCCTGCTAGAGAGATGGGGAATAAAAAACATGTAGACAGAATCCACTCCTAATTACTAGACTTGTCTGCAAACAGTAAGATGAAGAAATGGCATAGTCGTGGAGCTTCAGTTGTTGTACACTGGGAAATTATGTGATTCCTGAACTTAGCTGCTGCAGTAAAGAGAAGCTGCAGTAAAGAGAAGCAGGATGTCTAGGCTAAAATCTGCACATCTGTGCCCTGTCAAACCAGATGAACATGAAGTGGGATTTATTTCCCCTAGCTTTCAATGTTTCTAGTGTTGCTATCAAAGTCTGAGCTATTACCTCATTTCTTTACTAGTCAATGGAGATCAGCACCTCCAGATCTTGCTTATGATACCCACTTAGAGAAGATAAGAATCTGAGTTAGCCCTTTTTTCCCACTAAGTATGAATAGAATTTGGATGATTAGCTCAGACCTCCAATCTATAGACGTCTAAATGCAATGCTGGGTGTTGGAGTTAGGCTCTGTTAATCAGATGTGCATAAGGGAGATTTGGGTCTATAAAATATATTGATAGTTCCTATAATACTGCTAATCATACTCATTGTCATGGTATCATCTGGTACCTAGAAGGATGGCTTGAACAAAAATAACTAATTTGAAGGCTGCATAACTTTTATTTAGTGGCAATTCTGCCTTGTAAATCTGGATTAAAATCTGCTTCCTTCCACTTGATGTTTTAGCTTCTGCTCAGTAAAGACTAGGGTTTTTTTCCAATTTACAGAAAGTTTATATTACCAGCCTCTGGAAGGTGAACCTAAGCAGGAAATATATTTGCACTACTGTTTCAGCTGAAAGATAGATCGGATTTCATTTCACATGTCTTTGCATGAATCTGTGCAGAAGGAAAGTGAATTCCTAATGTTCTTGTTAATGATAAAGAAAAGTAGTGACTTTATAAATATCTTCTGCACTTGTAGTAGGGCTTGTGTCCCCACTTGCAGTGCATAAACCATGCTAATTTAGATGCTTCCAAGTAATATGACTGTAAAAACATTGACTGACTGCATGCCTCAAAAGTGTTCCACTGTGATAAATTCCTGCATTGTTAAGATGAGCACAACCAACAAATTATAAGTTCCCATAAAAAATGGATTTGTAATATATCACCAGTTCACTTGGCACTAGAGAATTAAAGAGTCCTTTTTGTGCAAGAGACTACAGAACATAAAATGTCTTTCCAGCAACAAAGTTAGTTGTGCACAAGTGTGGATGCCAACAGAGAAATTAAAACTTGGGTAATTTCTGAATTGATTGCAAATGGTGATTCTCACTCTCCAAAGAAAAGTAAGTTTTATGCTTTACTGGCAATTAGCTTTCTCCAGCCTTTGGAGACACTTTTATTCTGTTAGACTGCAACACACATATATATTGTGAACTCATAACAGGAGTGTGCGGTGCTGGCCTCCATTAAGAACAAATAGTAGGTTACAGCAGACTGAAACTGATTTCCCAAGCCAAACATCTCATTCATTTTTCCTTGTAACAGACAGAAATTGGCACTTTATGGACTTTTACGTGTATTACTAGTGGTTAAAGAGGAGGTAAAATACAAGGAATAAAAAGGCTTATCTTCATTACAAATTGTGACCCTTTTGTGAACCTTCTTTAGTCAAAACCAAACGTTTTGCATTAGGAAAGATTTCCCATATTTTCTTCCTGCTTTTAGCTCCCATCCTTCGATCACATCAACGTATCAGTCTAGGTTGTTGCAATAGCAATACAGGATGCTTCTGTAAGGCAGAGCTGAATGTAAACAGCGGATCTTGATCTGCTAGTTACAGACACTCACTGATAGGAAAGCCAAGATGATTAATAATACTGGGGAAGGCAGAAGGCAAGGATTCATCATATCAAATTTTATCCATTATCAATAGAGGACAACTCTAAGACTGTGCATCTGTGAGCAGACCCAGCAACACTTCTGGATCCCAGGTCTGGGTGTAGACCCTAGCAGCCTTGCAGTTCCACATTAGGGCAAAATGAGTGGCTCAGCTATTACCACTCCCGTTGCTGAGTCACTGTAGAAAATAGGAGAATACCTGCAAGACACTTCAACAGATCCCATTCTGGACACCAGCGAGTACTGAGGTACACAGTAATAAAGAACTTCAGCTACAGGATTAGTACTATGGACTTAGTAGTATGGACTCCACAGTTGGTTATGAAAACAGGCATTTTCAGAGTGTAATTCCCAGTCTAGTGTAGACATCTGGCAGAGGTTGCATGAATAGCTCCCTGGAAATGCCAGTGTTTCTCTGTTAACTGTGAAGAACTTTAGGCTTGACAAGAGACTTAGCTTACAGAGGGCTAGAGGAGAGTTAGATACAGAGGGCTAGAGGAGAGTTAGATTAACTCCTGCTGAGCATTCAATACCTGACTTCTCCACAAACAGCATTACCAAAGTGAATGTGACTGAGACTTAGAATTAAGGACTCATGTACTTACTCACTGGGGGCTGACTAGATGCTCACAGTTTCACCTTGTTCCGG